TATTTTTAATAGTTTTAATTTAAATTTTTTAAATAAAAATGTTAAATAAAATTTTCACATATTTTATAAATATTAATTAAATTTTTTTTATCAAATAAAAAAACTTGATAAAAATTATATATATAATTTTTTAATTATCATTTATATAAATCATTAAATTTTTATTTAAAATTTAAATTTAAGAAAATAAAAAATTAAATTAAAAATACTGAAAATCAATCGATAATGTACTAAAAAAAATAAATCGATAATGTACTAAAAGAAATTAAAGGCGTTTTGTTGGTTTGAGATATTTTAAATCAGAGGAGGGAAAATGAAAGTCAAATAGAGTTTTTGCCATTCAGCTTTCGTTGATTTGAAATAGGGGCGTGCATTCAGTTGGTTAACTGAAAATTGAACCAAAAAAATGAATTTGGTTTGAAAGAATCGGTTTTGGTAAAAAAACCAATGGATTTTCGATTCGGTATTGGTCAGGAGGCCTAATAACTGAAAACTAAATAGGGCCTCCTGATTAACCAAATTAAGGCCCAAGTCTTGAGGCCAATCTTTTGGCCCCGAAAAAAAACATAAAGAACCGTAAATGGCAGGGGCAAGCGGCAACAATGATGTAATCGTCATACCGCCTCCACCTTCCTCATTTTCTGTAATACCCCAAAAATTGGTGATATTTTAACATTAAATAAGGGACTTATTTGAGGGAAAATATTGTTTTGGAGGTTAATCATAAAATTTTAAAAAGTTAAGGGGCTAAAAAGAAAGGAAATTTGGATAAGGATCAAGGCTGATATTTTTGTCCTCAGCCACGTGTTTTGCTTTTCTTCATCTTCATTTCTCTTCTCCCCGATGCTCTGCCTCCCCGACCAGCCCCCCTAGGCCACCGACTTCTTCCTCCTTTGAAAACCAGTAGAAGACTTGAAATTTCTTCTTTCCTTCTTGTTCAAGAACTGATTTTGGGGCTTAGAACTCTCATTAAACCCAGAATTTTCCCCAGATCTGCTCGGTCTCTTCCTCCCCTGTCCATCGGGTTCTGCTGGGTTTGAATCCTTCGGCTTTTTCTGGTAAGAAGCAGCCTTGAATTCATCCTTTCTCTCTTCAATTGGCTTGGGTTACTCTAATTTTGCTATTGGTTCTTGAATTTCTGGAGTTTGCCGTGAGTTTCCCCCCCCCCCTGGATCCCGTCGGCTTCTTCACCAGCCAAGCTGGGGTTCTGCTGGCTGGAATTCTGGTAAGTTGCCGGCTTTTCCAAGCTTAAAATTACCCATTTAATTGCTGGGTTTTGTCCATTAGTTGATGCTCTGTGTTGTCCGAATCTGCTGGGATAGGGGATGAATTTGGTAGCCCTTTTAAATGTGTTTGTGCTTGGTTTATGTAGGAATTTTGTTAATTGGGCTGTTGTGATGTTGTGTAGGAGTAATCCCGTGACTTAGCCATTGTTGGCCAAAGCCGTGGGTCTCCATTGCTTGTCCGGGAAATTGGAATGAATTTTGGTAGCTTTAAGCTATGTTTTAAGTGTGGTTTAAGTAGAAAAGTAGCTTGTTATGATTGTTGTGAGATTTGGAGAGAAACCCCGTGAATTGGCTATGTTTTGCCCATTTTGGAAGTTGAAGTTACTGTTCACGGTACTGTTCATAGGCACTGTTCACATGGTACTGTTCACGGGCACTGTTTACACACCGAGGGTTAACGAATAACGGGGATTTAAAGGTTTAGTTTGTAATATAAGAATGAATTTGGAGATGTCCGGTTATGTGGAGATTGATAGAAATGGCACTGTGACTAGGGGTAGTGCTAATGATGATTTCACTGTGAATTTGTGGTGGTATGGTTATTAATTGTGGAATATTGTGATTAGGTTTTGATCGTTTTGTCACCGTAGCACTTGGGTTAGCCTTCTGTTATGTGCGAGTAAGGTAAGTAAATTATGGTAAAGCCCTTCGATTTTAAAGTACGTTTTAAATTGTTTTTGAGATGGTGGCAAAGTTTAAATTGATTTTAAATTGATTTTATCAGCATCTGAGTGTGATTAAATTGAAATGAAAAGTTGGATATTTTCATGAGAATTTCCTTGTTTTTCTGAAATTGAGCATGATTGAAATGAAAATGAGGATTTTATTGATTTTCTGGAAATGAGCATGATTGAGAAATGAAAATGAGAATTTCATTGTTTTTCTGGTATACAGCATGCCTATTTGGGAATTGACTAAACTGCTTTGATGAACTGAGAATTTTGTAAATGTTGAGTTTTCTGTTAAATCCTTGCCTGCATGGAACTTTT